TTCAGGCCCTAATCACAGAATAGGGCCTGACACAAAACCTATCTAAAGTGTGAGATTCCCGTCCACCTGGTGGACGGGAAATCTGATTGTTTGATCAGCATCATGAAGGATTTTGATTGGTTGCAAGTTTACATAAACAACAGTTTTAAAAATAGCTCGGTCAAGGCGACAATTAATATAAAGGTCAAACGCACGTACAAATTCCATTATCGATTTCTTCGAATTTCTTTTTCTTTTATGCTTTATGGCAGAAAATAAATCAAACAAACAGTATTTTGAAAGGGCTTTATCAAAATCTTGGACGAATTTTGGACACACGACGCCGGAAGAACAGCCAAACTAGTCATGTATTCGAAAGCTTGTTGTTGACAGCCAAGATGTTTTGCCAACTGGCTTCGCCGGCAAAAGTCTTATTTTTAATATCAGGTCCTACCGGCGTTGTTTTCTGAGCTACATCGCCTTCTTCGTGGTACGATTGAGAATTTCATTGTTGCTGTTGTTAGCCCGTTTTAATAAAGTATATCCCTAATATCCGCGTCCAGCAAGTTGAGACCTTGAGAAAGCTTGGCAGTCTAGCCGTGCACAGAACTGACTAATTAAATCTTTGTCTGAATCTTATTTATATATAAGAGTACCTTGAATTTTTAAGTTTAATTATAAAGCAAAATGCACACTCTGCGGACATGTTCATGAGAATATAATTTTTTTGTGTAACGAAATCTATAACACTTGTCAATCATATTGCATGTTGTGTCTAAAAATAACATGTGGGCGTCCCACGGTCTAGACAGGTTTTGTGTCAGGCCCTATTTCAAATTAGGGCCTGAACTTCAGGTTACCCTTCGATAGGCTATGGGCAGACACTATCAAACTCCTCAGGTTGTCTCCGGGCAGGCTCCTTTATTCCTGTAGTAACACACTGAACCTCAAGTTTAGAAATGATAGAGCTATTCTCAGTGTATAAATAAACTTAGTTTAGTTTAGTTTCCTTTTGTTGTAGTAACACTAAATCAATTATGAATTGCCCATACCGTTTCACTGGTCCTCTAGGGCCGGGGAGATCAGTTAAGTATTGCAGTGCATGGCAGAGCTGTTCAGTCTGATTAAAGTTACTTTAGTTTATGACTGTTGTAGTAACACCAGAACCAGGAAATATAATGCATGTACTTATCGTTTACCTTCAAATCCTTCTTGAAATTAGCTGCCTTTTTGTCGATTCGAACTTCAAAACACGCGGAGAAAAATATTTTTTTTAAATTTAGCAGCTCGCAATGTAGTCTTTTTGAAAAAAAATGTCTGTTTTTGGTCGCTGCAATCTGATTGCAGAAAAAGGCAATAACCACTTCACAATTTCTACTAATAAGGGATAGCCATTACTGCACCTCTAGACAGGACTGTTTAGAACTGATAGAGCTAACCAGTATAAATAAGGTACAGTAGTTTAATTTCGTTTAGTTGGAATAAACTTTTTATTTCTTTTAAAATAACAAGTAAATGAAAACAAGGTGGAAATTTCAGATCATTATTTGCATTTATGAACAAAAATCTTGTTTAGCAGCGTTCTAAAATCAACTTATCATCCAAAGCATGTTTTCTTTATTTTCATAATTTCAGAATCCGTGGAATCCTCGTCAGAAGAACTGTGGTGTCCCCACCCCTCCCCCACCACCCTCGTGTAGCGATGGTAAACAGAACCAGGGTGAAGAAGACATAGATTGCGGTGGACCCAACTGTCCCTCCTGCCCCGAACCCACCGCAAGTATTGATGAATATGCCAAGTAAGATACAAGTTGTTACACGTCTGTTCGCAAGCTGTCGACAAGTTGTGTTCGCACTGCTTGTTCCCGGTTGTTGTAACAAGTTTGGAACAAACTGTCAACAACTTGTAACAACTTGCTACAAGTTGTTGCTTGTGATGTTACTCTGAGTGTATATCCTCACCGGGCAAGCTTGAAAAATATGCCTGAGCACGGTGGGAATCGAACCTACGACCTTTGGAATACTAGCCCAATGCTCTGCCAACTGAGCTACGCGGTCTGGTCGGTTCGAGTATGTGATATTTCGGAACAGAATCTAGTTCCTTCGACATCAATGTTATCTAATAATAATCATGATTTTTCTTTGTTGGTGTAATGTACTCAGGTGAATATGATGCTTGTGATGTTACTCTGAGTGTATATCCTCACCGGGCAAGCTTGAAAAATATGCCTGAGCACGGTGGGAATCGAACCTACGACCTTTGGAATACTAGCCCAATGCATATTTTTCTCAGGCATATTTTTCAAGCTTGCTCGGTGAGGATGTACACTCAGAGTAACATCACAAGCATCATATTCACCTGAGTACATTACACCAACACAGAAAAATCATGATTGCTACAAGTTGTTCCAACATGGCTGATACAGACTGTTCGCAACAAGTTGCTACGTGCACAACGTAAAAACGCACAAGTTGTTACAAATCTGTTCACAATGTCGACAAGCTGTGTTCGCACTGCTTGTTCCCAGATGTTGTAACAAGTTAGGAACAAGCTGTTAACAACTTGTAACAAGCTTGATGGCACTATCAGACTTGTTACGAGGTTGTTCTAACAAGTCTGATACAGTCATGATATAACAAGAATGTTACAACGTTGACCACACAATACTGTTATATCGTAACTGTATTGGACTTGTTGGAACAACCTTGCAACAAGTCTTATAATATCAACAAGGTTGTTACAAGTTGTTAACAGTTGTTAGTTGCTTGCTCCAAACTTGTTGACAACGGAGATGTAATACCAAATCTTCAAAGTATTAATGTAACCTTTTATCGTTCCATCAGAAATATCAAGCACAAAGTCGACTCATCGTGGACCACAGGATTTTCCTCCTCAATCGAGGCAACTGTCATTAAACGCATCACTGGCGATTGGCAACTCGTCTTATTCTTTGATAATCCTGTGGAAATAAGTTCTGTTTGGGGAGCCAAGAAAGTATTTGAAAACAAACTAAGTATGTGAACATTATGTAAAATTTGAAAGGAATTAATACTGCGATTTGCAGTTGAGCTTAGAGACAAGAAGTTTTGGCGCGCAGTTGATCGTTGAAACGTTACCAAGGGCAAATTCAAATGTTGTCAAGCGGAAATGCGAATGTTGTAATGGGAGATTTAGGCACTTTCGGCCAATCATAGTGAAGAATGCGTTTGGGCAACGCCTTCTTCACTATGATTGGCCGAAAGTGTCTAAATCTTCCATGACAACATTCGCATTTCCGCTTGACAACATTTGAATTTGCCCTTGGTAACTTGGACGTTTCAACGATCAAACTGCGCGGCAAAACTTCTTGTCTCTAAGCTCAACTGCAAATCGCAGTATACTATTTCCCCAGTTTCATAACACTGCCACTTGATAATTAGCATTTGCTTTACGATAGTGCTCACAGAACCCCACGATTTTGGGGCATCTCGATGTAGAAGGAACATTTGTCGGTGGAATTTTCCAAAGAAAAAATTTATATACAATTTTAGAGGAGTCTGTAGCTCAGTGACAGTGGTCAGAGCATTCTCGCATTTTTCGCAGCTGTTCTCGGTCACAGACGTAAAATCGCACAAGTTGTAACAAACCTGCAACAGACTTGCAGCAATGCTGTTCCAACAACTTCTCAACAGGATATGTTCGCACTGCTTGTTCCCAGCTTGTTAACAACTTGTCAACTTGCTACAAGGTTGTTCAGTTCAACAGATTTGTTACAAGTTGTTCCAACAACTTGTTATCGTCCTGTAATTCAACAATTTTTCAACAAGTTGTGGGTAACGACATTGTAGCAACTTGATGAAATAACACCATTGTTACAACTTATTGACAAGTTTGATACACATCAGGTTGACAAGTTGTGTGAGATTTTTACGTAGCTCAAAAACTGTATCGTTCAAATATCCCATTTTAAATATTTTAGGCACAGTTTTCAAATTCAGAGGTTTGCCCTGGAACAAGCATCGTAAAGTTGGAGATAAGATCAACATTGGTTTCAATGCGATGGTGAAGAATCCTGGCACCAAATTACCTCAAGTACTCACTCTGGAACTGGAGTGTATTGGATGTAAATGAGGAGGTCTGCGTATTATGATTTGTTGAAATAAATATATTTGTGCTACGACATGTTATTTGAATATTAATATTACTATTCTTGTGATAGGCGAATCCCTTGTTGAATTATATTTTTTCAGCTAGCCTTTCCACTCTGTTAGCTAATTACAACGCACATACATAACAGAACAGGAAGTTAGGAACTTGTAACAGGAAGTTAATAACTTCTAATAGGAACTGAAGGAAAATTGATTTGGCTTTTAGCAACATTGCAAATACCTTCAAGGGTTTTACATGGGTGTTTTTCAAATTTAAAAGGTAACGCTTGACGTAGTTTACCTAGCTGTAGGCATTTATTTCAGTAATACTAGAATATTTTTTGATATTTTCGGAAGAATCCTGTGGGGTTCATAAAAATACGTCAATCTTTAGGTCCCTGAAATTCTCACACTGCATGTTGAGGGCAAAAAGCAACACGGAATGAATTCAAGTTAAATTCAAAACATCTAAAAGCCACGTTTCCCGCTGCGCCCAACGTAAACATCGCCTATACTCCAGATAGGGGAATCTTTGCAAGGGATAGGATCTGCATAATACATTCCACCAAAATTCGTCTTATTATATCTCTTATCCTGATCCCCGCACGGATAGGTTATCCCAGGCACAGGGTACCGTTTCCAAGATGTGAGCAGCATTGCCTGCCAGTATTGTTCAATCTGTATTGGATAGCTACCGTGTAAGGCTAAAAAATCTTCACAAATGTGAAGATGTTGTTCCAAAATGGGTTCATTAGCGGTAACTTCGTAGTGTACCCTTGGGTCCCCAAAGTAAGTTACGTTCTCAATATCGTTTATCCACATCGCCATGGCCTGGTCCCCAAATGCATGACACATCAAGGAGTTGTGTTGCTCCTCGATAAAGTGTTGTATCAAGTCGTTGCTTACTATTACAAAACCTTCGTCGACCCGAATGCCACCTGCAAAAGAAGGTGGAAAATATTAAGAGGAGAATCTTTTGTATGTTACGTTACACGCGCTCAAAACTGATGAATATACCTAACTAACTAGCTAACTAACTAACTAACTAGCTAACTAACTAATTAACTAACTAACTAATTAATTAACTGGCTAACTAACTAACTAACGAACTAACTAACTTGACTAACTAACTAACTAACTAACTTGACTAACTAACTAACTAACTAACTAATTAACTGGCTAACTAACTAACTAACTAACTAACTAACTAACTAACTAACTTGACTAACTAACTAACTAACTAACTAACTAACTAACTAACTAACTAACTAACTTGACTAACTAACTTGACTAACTAACTTGACTAACTAACTTGACTAACTAACTAACTAGCTAACTAACTAACTAGCTAACTAACTAATTAACTGGCTAACTAACTGACTAACTAACTAACTAATTAACTGGCTAACTAACACTAATTAATTAACTGGCTAACTAACTAACTAATTAACTGGCTAATTAACTAACTATCTATCTATCTAACTAACCAACTAACTAATTAACTGGCTAACTAACACTAATTATTTATCTGGCTAACTAACTAACTAATTAACTGGCTAATTAACTAACTAACTATCTAACTAACTAACTAATTAACTGGCTAACTAACACTAATTAATTAACTGGCTAACTAACTAATTAATTAACTGGCTAATTAACTAACTAACTAACTAACTAACTAATTAACTAACTAACTAACTAACCAACTAACAAACTGATTAACTAACTAACTAACAAACTGATTAACTAACTCATTAACTACCGAACTTACGAATTACCTAATTAACTAAGTAAGTAAATAAGTAACTAGTTAACTAATTACTAGACGACCCCACTAATTAACAAACTAGCTAACTGTTAAACTAACTAAAAACCAACTAGCAAATTACTCAGGTCACTACAGGGCCGCGTAAACTCATTTCGGGGCCCGTGGCATCTTTCTCGCGCGGAGCCCCTTTGGCCTTTTCTGCCTCTCTATATAATAACCTGAAAAAAATATTATTAACCCGTTTTAATTAAATGTATATGCATGGTAGCTTAATGGTA